GGCACTCTTGAGGATTTTCCTTCTGAGTAAGTTAATCTACGCATACATAATGGAAATTAGTGTCTGTGTGGTACAATACGTCAAGCTTGGTCGGGAGCATACGGCACGCGTGCCACATGAGGCACGCCAGTCAATTCCCAATGTCACGCAGCCGCAAATGACATCACGAAGTCCGAACCAATAACTATTACAACGCAAAGACATTTAGCTGTTTCAAAACTGCTCACTCGTTGTACTCTCATTCATAATAAAAACTTAAAAAAGACTTTTAAAAAACAGTTTATTTCTGTTAATATGGTTTAAATATTATTTCATGTATTACTATAAAAATATATATTGTAGTACAGGTATATTGACTTTGACTTGTATAAAAATACGTCTGCTGTTTACACACTGAATGATTTTAAAGCCACAAGTCCACAATATAGTCAGCTAAAGGTTGCGTCCTCTGTGCTAAAACATTTCAAACATAGAGTTTCCCAAAGAATAAAATAGGATGCAGACAAAGGGATTCTAACGACTACACAGACACCACATAGGTTCTTGATAATGACAAAAATAACAAAAATGAACTATGGACAGTTCATCCACAACTTCGAGCTCAATAATCAACACCTTATCTTAAAATTATAAAAATATAATAAAAATACAGACAGACTTTTCTAATCAAACTTTTTGGGGGATTAATATTTGCTGCCTAAATATTACTTTTTCGTAGACATAAAATCGTATGTTTAGGTCTTGTTGAACCGTCCTCGTAATTTTAGTCTATAGCATAACTTGATCAGCGTTAATTTTGTGTATCCTCTTCCATCAAGTTAATACAAATTTATGCGCATTTTTATTGATACTCAACTGCAGACATACTTATTAATTCCGATCAGAATATTCTACTGGCAATAAAGCCTCCCAGTACCTCTGGCGCGGTAATAACGATCTGGGTTTCATTCAAATAAATTTGCAAATATTTTGTCACTACCAATAATAAACATGTATGTTGTGGCGCGTTAAAGAGAAAATAATCCCATGTTTCTCCAAAAGCTAAATAACGACACACTCACCTACATACATACGCACTAAATAATAATAATGAAGAAAAAAAAACAAGAACGGAAGTCATATATTTATTTAAAATTGTTTCCGTCATTTATCTTCAAGATCTGTTTTCTGATTAGCTGGTTCCGGAAAAAAAAATGGCCAAATGCTAATTTCGCAGTTTCCTTCAGTCTACAAAAATGTCTTGGAGTCAGCTGGAAATGGTTCGTCTTCTGCTGCGGTGCCAGACTCCTATAATTGGTTGCTCGAGGTGGGCTCTTATTTATCTATCTAAAAAAATAACATACTATCAAGCAGGGGAGATGAAGAGATTATTAAAATTGATGAGATGGGGTCCTAGCAATTTGCGTGTCTTTCAAGCAAATGTCTACAACAGAAACTGGATAATGTATTTAAATATTTATATATATCATAAGCCATATATATATATATATATATATATATATATATATATATATATATATATATATATATATATATATATATATATATATATATATATATATATATATATATATATATATATACCTTTGTCGATTTAATACATAAATACGCACACACAACCTCTCTTTTATCAGCCAAAACTCTTCACCAGGAAAGCTTTTGAAAGCCGAAACTACATAAAAAATGTCTATTGAAATTTTTCCGGAAACCAGGACAAACCAAAATAAAAATAAAGAAAAAAAAAAAAACCTTAACAAGATGCTTTCGTTCACTTTCAACTAAATTATATATATGTATATGTGGAGACGGATGGAATTATATACACATGGACACACACGCACGTGCGCACACTTTCACAGACACACACACACATATATATATATATATATATATATATATATATATATATATATATATATATATATATATATATATTTATTTAATACCTGTGTAATACTTATATCAGTAAAATCTCTTTAATAATGGAATATGAAAGCCGAAAACACTCAAAAACCGGACAAAATGTGTGAGAGAATGTGCCTCTGTGTTTAAAAAAAAATATAATAATGTATCAAAGAAGGTACTTAAATTTCCTTGTTATGTCGCGACTTAAAAAGGAGAGGAAACCCAATTCTGTAATTACAGTATTATATTTTTTCTTGTCCTGTTTTACCGCCTGACGATTGTGTGATCTTCTAGAATAAATAAATAAATAAATAATAAACAGCACGTGCACATGAAACTTTTGGGATAAAGATCGCTTTTTTATTTCCAGCATTTTGTATATACACACACACACACACACATATATATATATATATTTAAAGATATTTTTGTCGGTACAAAATTTAATGAAATAAAAATGTAAAATTTAATATTACAAGACATATTAAAACAATATTAAATAATAAAAAAAAAACACTCAACAACAACGTGGGGAGAAGCAACCAGTTTCGCTCCCGCTCATCAGGCTTCCACGGGAGATTCAAAATTAAAACAGAGAAAGGTACAATAAGAATAGGTGGAAAAAAAATACATATATGTACATATATATACCTGTATACATGCAAGAAGGAACTAGAGGCAGATGACAGCGAGTCCCAGCAAACACTCACGTTGTTTGCACAAAGAAGGCTTGCGGGACCCGATGTATATATATATATATATATATATATATATATATATGTGTGTGTGTGTGTGTGTGTGTGTGTGTGTGTGTGTGTGTGTTTTCCCTATGAATTCTCATGCCACGTGGGAGATTACATCTCTCAGTCAGTTATGTGCCATGCGTGATACACGCTTAGCCGATCATGTATCTTTCGATACACGACTGACGAGGTATGTATGCCATTTCTTTCTGTGGTACACCAGTTACTATCGAAGGCTATAGAACCCGGTCTGTCATGCTATTTACCCATAGCTGGGGGAGAAGAAGAGGATTCACCCCTTTCCCATGTGCCAGGCGTGATACACGCTTAGGCAATCATGTATCTTTCGATACATGACTGACGAGGCAGATGTTTTTTTCCCGCAGTAGATTGCAATTTCTTTCTGCCATCTAGACCAGTTGCCATCCAAGGCTATAGAACTCGGTCTGTCCTGCTATTTACCCATGCGGCTTGCTTACAAACAGAATTGTTCATAACCATTTCTATTCTCACATGTCGAAGTGCAATTTTAAATGCACTGAAACAAAGTTGCATCGTTGTAGTAAACTGATTGTGTCCATATGAAAAAAATATAATAAATAATTAGTGTTTTACTATCGGTATTGAGCCCTCTTTTGAATTTATGCTGGGAACGCTAGAATTTATATGTTTTTTTTCCTTCGCATTACATTCGGATATATATATATATATATATATATATATATATATATAATCTCCTTTATCCTACGTATCACACCTCATTCATCATATCTATTTTAACAGTAGTCTTCTATCTTGAATGGCTCTCAGTGGAAACAAAGATCAACATTTTTTTTTTCATTCATAGAATACGCCTCATTGACCTAAACCATTTTAACAAACTCATCCATACTCAGAATATTGGTGTCACGTATGACCGGGTACTCCTACTTTATACTTAGAGATCCATGATAAAATTCAATGAAGAATCTGCAATGTCATTCGTCTTGTCCAGGTATCTCGGCCTTAGTCATTTTCCCACCGCCATAATATGATTTCCCTGTGACTTTTCTAGAAATGCTTCCTTGCTAATTGTGCTGAGGAACTTTCTTTTATGGTATTTAGATTTTATGAATTTAACCGCAGTACTAGATTGGCAGGTTGGTCTCATCATTTTACATTTGAATTGGCTAGATGTAACTGTAAGTTTTATGCTAAGAGTTTGTTCCTGTTGCTTTCAAATCAAGTTTGATCTTCAAAAACTTTTAGCATTATCTTCTGTTTTTATAATTCCTGTTCTATTATTGTTCTCACTCCTTAATGTTTCTCTTTTTCTTATATTCTTTCATACTCAGTCACTCCCTGCTTCTTAGTGGCTTTATTGCCTTGCTTGGGATTAAATGATTAAAAACACACCCACACACAAATGAGTGTCAAAAGGATGGGGTTTTTTCTTATATTCTTTCATACTTGATTTCATAATGATTGAAGGCAGTTCTGAATGTAGCAACAATTATGTTACCGTTAATCCTTGTGATGCTAGTAATATTTTTTCTTTTTCAGTGTCTTTTTAAATGCTTATTTTATATCATATTCTGATAACTAAAATAACTTGTTAATTCCTGTTCTCTTATTGTTCTCCCGCCTTAATAATGTTTTTCTTATATTACTTCACAGTTAATAACCCCCTGCTTGTTAATAGCATTGTTGCCATGCTTGGGGTGAAATGATTAAAAAAAAAAAAAAAAAGTTTGCCTTAAGTGGCTTTCGAACAAATCAATCAAAAACTCTTTTATCCATATAACGCACTTCATTCCTTTTGTGATCTCAACAAACACTCGTTGACACTTTCGTGATGTCAACGAATGCTCGTTGTGACTTTCGTAATGCTCGTTGTAGTAGAGACTTTGTAATCGCAGATACAACTATAGTACTCCGTTGAACAATACTGGTTTCAGACGCCTTCGACTATCACTCGCACTAATAGTACTTGCTCGATAATACGCGATCAACAAGTAATCCGTAATGTGATCAGTATAGAGAAATAGTATAATGAAAAGAGTAGAGAATAGCGGTCCGTATAGTAATAGAGGATAGAGTAGAAATAGCGATCCGTATCGTATAGAGGATAGACTAGAAATGGCGATCAATCTGGACGTTACACGATTTCTTATCTATGGGTTTCCTTTATGGTCATGTAATCCACTTAATTCAATAATGGGATCGCCTGTGTTTGCTCACTGGCGATCTATGTTCAAACTCAAGTGTGACACAGCGACACTTTATTCCTATATAACGATAACCCTTTTAACAGTAATAACTCTCGAGCCTTGTATTTCATGAAAAGATTTAATTTTTCTATTCTCTTTCCAGGTTTGATGTGCGGAAAGCAAGGTGCAGATATCGTTTTTGTCTTGGATTCTTCCTTCAGTATCTGGAGAATACATTTCCAGGAACAACTAAGATTTGTCGTCAATGTGGTCGACCAGTTCCCAGTTGGCAAAAACCAAGGTGACTTTCATATCGCAGTGATCACCTACAGCGAGAACGTGACGGTCCAGTTCCACCTGAAGGACTTCGTCGACAAGGAACAATTGAAACGGGCGGTAATGCGAATTAAGCGGCCGGTAGAGGGCGGGACTTACACGTTCCGGGCCCTGAAATACGCCCGACAACGAATGTTTATCACAAGGAACGGAGGACGAACATATTCGGATAAGATCATTATCGTCATCACCGATGGACTGTCACAGAATACGACAGCGACCCGGTTGGAGGCGACACGGGCGCACTACGAAGGGATTCAGGTTTTTGCTATAGGCGTTGGAGGGGGTGTCGATAAACAGGAATTGGAACTCATAGCGTCGGAGCCGTCAAGAAATCACGTATTTACTGTTGATAATTACAACTTCTTGGATTCTATTAAGCGAAAAGTGGCAAGGGAGACCTGTCGAGGTACATATATATGGCTTTTTAAGAATGAGTTTTTGAGTCGTTCCTAACATGATTTCTTTCTGTTTCACAGATTTTTACACATGCGCAGTAGAAAGATTGGGTAAACGTGGACGGTTTTTCCCTTGACACCGCTATCATTTAAACTACCTTCACTCCTCGGCGATGTTGATTATTATAAAAAAACGATGATGAAATACATAATGAAAATGAAATGATAGATATTTTGTTTTATATTTACACAATTTACATTGTCTGGACTGCTGTACTCATTTTTAATGTCATATTCTCGATGTTTCGGTCGTTGTACTCTTCAGGTAATATACGTCGGAATTTCGAACCGAACACTTTATTTTGTACCCCGGTGTAGATTGTTCTAGTTCATGCCCCTTCCAGATATCACAGTTTCAGTTATCTCCCTTTAGTACCACAAATGGGTACACTTAAAGTGCTGGTTAACTTGACCTAAAGAGTTGTCGACAAAAACTTGGAAACTTGAGTTACTAAAGAGAATTAACAGAAAGGGCATGGCACGTGGAACTAGAACAATCTACCCCAATGGACTAAATAAAGGGTTCGGTTCAAAAATTTCAACGCTTACTACTCAAAGAAGGTCGGAGCGTACAACGGCCGAAACGTCGTGAACATGACAATAAAGATGAGGATGGGATGTTGTAAATATAAAATTATTAAATAAGTTTTTTTTTTTTTTTTTTATGGTACAAATTTTAACAATAGCTAGGTAAAAGCAAAATTTATATGGCATTTTTAAAAAAGCTAAAAAGGAACAAACAGTTTCGTCCCAGGACTTATCAAGTTTATTTTCTGGGATATAAAAAATATATAAGCGTGTAAATTAAATTAATATGACGAATGGAAAGGAAAAAATATGAATTTCAAGGATTTAGAGTCCTTGTATATCAGATCACGTGGGCTTTCCCTTTTTGAAACACAGCGAATGCTTACTGGGTCTGAATGTTATTGGACTCTAATTTTCTTGAAATTCCTTTTTTTTTCCTCACCTTCCATTCGTTATATTAATTTAATTTACACACTTATAAAATAAACTTGATAAATCCTGGGACGAAACCAGTTGTTCTTTTTTAGCTTTTTTTGAAATGCCATATGAATTTTGCTTTTTCCTAGCTATTATAAAATTATTATTTTAAATAAACAATCTAATAATTAAGTACTGTTGTTTTAATACTTCCGTTTTCAAGAATAAAAAATGTATAAATTCATTTCCATGTTTAGGTTTCATTATAATTCAAATAATCGCTTTCTGAAACAATAAATATTGCCGAGGAGTGAAGGTAGTTTAAATAATAGCGGTGTCAATGAAAAGCCGTCCTTTTAACACTGTTTTTTTTTCTTTCTTTTTTTTTTTTTTTTGCGGGCAGGAAAGTCCAAGTTTGTGAAAGATTGTATTGCGCCATTATTACAAATATGATAATCTCGTAAATATTTGTATGTGGGAATGTGTCGTTAATGTAACGATTATCGACAAAATGAAATCGGCGAGCCGAATTCAAATTCTAACCTAGTGAGGTGTGTTCACTTTTGTATAAATGCCAGTTCGTTCCACACATTTAGAAATTAAATAACAGGGTAGACTACGCTCTTTAGCCTTATGTGGTAATCAGTCTAGAAGAATAACTACTCTGAATTTTGAATCGCAATAAAGGCCAACCACTTCACTGCTTTTCTCAAAAGTTATAGTACCCAACAGGAAACTGTAGACAGGATTGACTACCTCCTGGTTATAAAATGATTTTTTAAAGGTAATTTAAAAGCATATCGTTGCCTTTTTTCCGAAAGTGAAAGGGGAGGGGGCATAAAGGTCAGAAATTAAATTTTGCTCTACTTTGTTTTGAGCCCTTTTTTTTAAAAGTAAATGCTATGAAGTACGGATTTTAACACCATTTGTTTTGGGGTTTTTTTTCGCTTGCAGATGGAATTTGAAAAATCTATCTGTAACATATCGATTTTAACTATGTTCGAATGATTGCCAAAATATACACTGCTAAGTCAAGACTTTATGACAACCTGTTTCAGTTTTCCATTTATCCATAAAACCCGATCTGGTAAAGAAGCTAAAAATATTTACGGGTTTTCTCTTAATCCTCAGCTTGATCCAGACCCTAAAAACTCTGCTCAAATGACCAAACCTCAGATGTCTTTAAATCGGTTTTTCTTTGGGCTTCCTCTTGCCTTGCGTTGTATGGTGTCGTGTTGTGTGTGTGTACACGAAAGTAATGTATCTTTATTTATTAATCCGACAGATTTTATCGCTTTAAACGTTATTTATAGTGGATACTCATATTTGAGTAGACGCCCCGTTTATTAACTAAACAGTATATTTATTCATTTATTTATTCTTGTCTGCCGGATTGAATATTCGTGAAATCTTATTAAAGAAAAAATATGACCTTCCAGCAGAACTCGAACATGCAGATCTAACGACAGTTCTCACTGCTTAGTGGGTGCAAGTCCGGGTCCTATCGGATTATTTTCTTTAATAAAATCTCTGGAATCGAACATTCAGGCCCGTGGACAAAAATAAATAAATACAGTATACTGTTTAATAGTGACAAAAAAATAAATGGAACGCCCATTCAAATAGGAGTATATACTACGAATAACATTTAAAATATATCCATGTGCTAATTAATTGAAACAACCGCTTTAGTTTCCTTTCTTTCACCATACGGTCAGTTTTAGACCCACTGGAGTGACAGGATATAATCAATTTCTGTTTTCTTCAGATTAAGTCATTTGCAGTGATAAGCAGTAATATGAATCCATTTCCGGGTGTGTGATGAAATATGTTAGGCCTTGTAAAATATTGCGTCATCCGGGATTGCATCAGATTTTTATCACTTCCAGACACTACTGTCCCGACTGTCGATTAGTTGTCCTATGACCATTGTCTGCGATGGACATTACTCCAAGGGAGTGTACGAAAACTTCTAACGCTGCCTTACCAGTGAGCAAATCAAAGTACTATAGAGTGGCTCGGAAACTCTGATTTAAATCCAATCGAGAATCTATGGTCAATCGGCAAGTAACTACGTCGCGGAAGGGACATACGAATACTAACATATTTCATTGGAAAACATACGAAAAAAAATAATAACAGAATTATTTGTTTTGTTTCAATTAATTTGCACAAGATTCTATATACTAGTCGAATTACCCGTGCCTTGCTGCGTGTTACACGTTTTTGTAAAAACATAATGATTGAATTAAAATCATTGTTATAATTTGTGGAGAAAAATGATGCATTTCAATATTACTCAATAATCTTGCCGATGTGACCTCCATCTTCTGGTTTTCTCCTTCTATATTTTGGATAGGAGCCATTCTCTTGTTCAAATTTAGATAGATAGATTATTTACAATATTCAGAATATTGTTCTCATCTTTGTTATTTATTCAACGTTTCGGAAAAATTTCAACTACTTAGATAAGCATTTTATGATCAAATGGAGGGTGCCTCCCTTTGATCATAATATACTTATCTAAGTACCCTAAGAGCCATACGTTTCGGCCGTTGTACGCTCCGGCCTTCTTCATGTGGTCAGGTGGTTCAGTTCGACATTCCAACCACCTGAAGAAGGCCGGAGCGTACAACGTCCGAAACGTTGAAATAAATATGGCAACGAAAAAAAGGACAATAATACGAATAATGTAAATAGTGTACATAATACCTCATCTGAGATATATATATATATATATATATATATATAGAGAGAGAGAGAGAGAGAGAAAGAGAGAGAGAGGATTAATACAAAGATTTTCATAGATTAACTTTTTTTTAACCCAATGAAGTGCAGTTATCCCGTACGATCACCGAAGTTAAGCAACGTTATGTCTTGTCAGTAACTAGATGAGTGACAGCTTGCGAATATCAGGAGCTGCAAGCTTGGATGTGCAGGTGGTGCAATGTATAACGACTCGGACTTTGAAATAGGAGAATCGGTTTCTAATTCCAATCGTGTTCGTTATATTCACTTAGGCGCAAATACACTTGGGAAAGGTATGAATCCACCTCTTCTCCCTCCAACTATGGGTTAATTAGTATGAATTGTATGAGTAAAGCGTTATCTCCAAAGAATTCTTACAATATAAAAATATTTTCTGGCTTTAAATATATGAAAATTCCACACTGAGACAAAGGCGCTATTTTTATATATTCAAAGCTTACTTTCTTGAAAAAGATGGGCGCAATATAATCTTCATATTTTCATACTCTGATACGTATTTGGCTGAGAGGAATCCGCCTGGTGGTTAAAACAGTTGCGTATATTTCAGTTTTTTGTTAGAATTCGAACCTTGTTTTGAAACTGCTATGATTTGTCTTTCTTTTTAGAATTATGCGTTTTTTTATTTTCTTTCTTTCATTTAATTTTTCTTTGTATCTTCCTCATATGTTTTTGTTTTCCGCCACTTCCTCGTCTTCCTCATCTGTTTTCCCCCTCTTCCTCCTCTTTCTCTTGCTCGTCTTCCTCATGTGTTTTCTCCCTCTTCCTCCTCTTTCTCTTGCTCGTCTTCTTCCTCTGTTTTCTTCCTCTTCCTCCTCTTTCTCTTCCTCGTCTTCCACATCTGTTTTCTCCCTCTTCCTTCTCTTTCTCTTCCTCGTCTTCCTCATCTGTTTTCCCCCTCTTCCTCCTCTTTCTCTTGCTCGTCTTCCACATCTGTTTTCTCCCTCTTCCTCCTCTTTCTCTTGCTCGTCTTCATCATCTGTTTTCTCCCTCTTCCTCCTCTTTCTCTTGCTCGTCTTCATCATCTGTTTTCTCCCTCTTCCTCCTCTTTCTCTTGCTCGTCTTCTTCCTCTGTTTTCTCCCTCTTCCTCCTCTTTCTCTTCCTCGTTTTCCTCATCTGTTTTCTCCACCTTCCTTCTCTTTCTCTTCCTCGTCTTCCTCATCTGTTTTCTCCCTTTTCCTCCTCTTTCTCTTCCTCGTCTTCCTCATCTGTTTTCCCCCTCTTCCCCCTCTTTCTCTTGCTCGTCTTCATCATCTGTTTTCCCCTCTTCCTCCTCTTTCTCTTGCTCGTCTTCTTCCTCTGTTTTCTCCCTCTTCCTCCTCTTTCTCTTCCTCGTTTTCCCTCATCTGTTTTCTCCACCTTCCTTCTTTTCTCTTCCTCGTCTTCCTCATCTGTTTTCTCCCTCTTCCTCTTTTCTCTTCCTCGTCTTCCTCATCTGTTTTCTCCCTCTTCCTCCTCTTTCTCTTGCTCGTCTTCCTCATCTGTTTTCTCCCTCTTCCTCCTCTTTCTCTTGCTCGTCTTCCTCATCTGTTTTCTCCCTCTTCCTCCTCTTTCTCTTCCTCGTCTTCCTCATCTGTTTTCTCCACCTTCCTTCTCTTTCTCTTCCTCGTCTTCCTCATCTGTTTTCTCCCTCTTCCTCCTCTTTCTCTTCCTCGTCTTCCTCATCTGTTTTCCCCCTCTTCCTCCTCTTTCTCTTGCTCATCTTCCTCATCTGTTTTCTCCCTCTTCCTCCTCTTTCTCTTGCTCGTCTTCCACATCTGTTTTCTCCTCTTCTTCCTCCTTTTCTCTTGCTCGTCTTCCACATCTGTTTTCTCCCTCTTCCTCCTCTTTCTCTTGCTCGTCTTCCTCATCTGTTTTCTCCCTCTTCCTCCTCTTTCTCTTCCTCGTCTTCCTCATCTGTTTTCCCCCTCTTCCTCCTCTTTCTCTTCCTCGTCTTCCTCATCTGTTTTCTCCCTCTTCCTCCTCTTTCTCTTCCTCGTCTTCCTCATCTGTTTTCTCCCTCTTCCTCCTCTTTCTCTTGCTCGTCTTCCTCATCTGTTTTCTCCCTCTTCCTCCTCTTTCTCTTCCTCGTCTTCCACATCTGTTTTCTCCCTCTTCCTCCTCTTTCTCTTCCTCGTCTTCCACATCTGTTTTCTCCCTCTTCCTCCTCTTTCTCTTCCTCGTCTTCCTCATCTGTTTTCTCCTTCTTCCTCCTCTTTCTCTTGCTTGTCTTCCTCATCTGTTTTCTCCCTCTTCCTCCCCCTTTTCCTCTTCTGTTTTCTCCCTCTTCTTCCTCTTCCTCCTCTTCCTCCTCTTCCTCTTCTGTTTTCTCACTCTTTCTCTTGCTCCTTTCTTTTTTTTCTTCATCTTTTGTTTTCTCTCTCTCCCTCATCTGTGTCTTTGTCTTCCTCACCTTCCTCTTTTGTTTTCTCCTTTTTCCTCCTCTTCCACTTCCTCATCAGTTTTCTTTCTCTTCCTCCTCTTCGATTTTCTCCCTCCTCTTCCTCTTCCTCGTCCATTTTCTTCCCCTTCCTCCTCTTCCTCTTCCTTGTCCATTTTCTTTCTCTTACTCCGCTTTCTCTTCTATTTTCTCCCTTTTCCTCCTCTTCCTGATATATCTTCTTCCTCTTCCTCTTCTGTTTTTATCCTCTTCCTCCTCCTCCACTTCCTCATTCACCTTCCTCTTTCTCCTAATCCTCTTCTTCCTCTTCATTTTTTTTTCTCTTCCCCTTCAGTTTTTTTCTCTTCATTTTCTGTTCTCTTCCTCTTTTCTTTTCTCGTTCTTTTTCTTCCGTTTTCTTTCTTTTCTGGTTCCGCCACTATTATTATTATTATTATTATTTTTATTATTATTATTATTATTATTATTATTGTCGTTGTTGTTGCTGTTGTTGTTGTTGTTTTTTGTTTTTTCTGTAATTTGATTATTTTCTTTTTCACTTTGTCCTTGCATTGACTACGTTTTTATTCATTTTATTTTTTTAAATTTTCTCTTTTTGTTTTCTACTTCTTCTTATTATTGACATTTATATTGTTTTATTATTTTCATTCTCCAGCTTCATTTTCTTTCACTGAATCTAGAAAACTCTTACTTTTTTTCATTTTTCTCTTTTCTTCATGTGATTTAGACTCTTTTCTTTGATTTTGTTGTTCATGTGCCTCTTCTTTGCCCTCTTCTTGTTGTTGCTGTTATTATTATTATTATTATTTAGCTGTTTTCATTCTTTTTATTATTATTATTATTATTATTATTATTATTATTATTTCATCCTCACCACCGGAAGTACTTGTGGAACATCAATCGGAGGGAAGTAACAGCAAATCTCCATTAATCTCCAGACTATGTTTGTCGTTTCTGTCCTCCATTTTCTTTTCCTTCTCTTTCTACTGAGTTTCGATTTCTTAAAATCCTTGGCGAAAGAAGGAAAGAAAATAAATTCTTTATAATAGCCGGTTGTTTCTCACTGATATTGTCTTTTACTCTCACTCGTCGATTATAATGGAAGAATTTCCTGCCTCTCCAGGATTTTCAGTTCGCTCTAATTCCATTCCTCTTGTCAAATGGAATTTATAGTGAATAAAAATGTCGACAATCTTGTATATAATTTTCGCTTTTGAGTGATTGTTGTCCGCCATAAAACTTGTGATGTTTGGTTAAATAGGTTAACGAGAAGAAAGATAATGAGATGAAGAAAGAGGGAAAGAGAGAAAAGAAGGAGAAGGAGAAGAATAGAATGAAGAGGAGAGAGAAAAAGGAGGGAAGGAGTAGAAGGAAGGGAAAAGGAGGAGAAGAGGAAAAGGTGCAGGAGAGAAGAAAGACGTGGAGGAAAAGAAGACAAAAAGAGAGGGAAAAGAAGTGTGATAAAAAAGAAAAGAAACAAAAGAAAAATAAGTGGGAAAAGAAAAAGAAAGAGAGGGAAGAATAAAAAGAAAGGGAAAAGAAAGAGATAAGGAAGATGTACAGAAAGGGAAAAAAAGAAAGGGAGAAATAGGCGAGGAAGATGAAAAATAATTGTGAGGAAAGAAAAAGACAGCACAGTTTGATTGGGTAGGAGCAGTGAATCACGATGAATTGTGCAAAGGAATTCGTTTCAATACTCCTAGCTTTGTATATATATATATATATATATATATATATATATATATATATATATATTAAAAGACAAAATGTATCGTCCACATATCGCTGATACATAGACGGTGCATTGTCGTGAGTGAGGAGGGACGACTCATAAAAGCCGACAAAAATGTTGACCAAAGCAGGACCCAAAGGAGAGCCCATAGCTACCCCATCTATCTGTCTGTACATGATATTGTTAAAGCTAAACTCCACAGACATAGTAGCAAATTTCATAAGCTCAACAAAAACCATTTCAGGGATATCCGGAGGTGACAAACTACTTCGATATAACATGTTGCAACAAATATCAATCGTTTCCAACACGGGAACACAGGTAAACAGAGAGCATACGTCAAACGAACACATAAATTTATTTTTTGAAGGAGTATCACGAATAATCTGAGCAAACGAAAAGGAATCTTTGATAGTATACGCACATATATATATGTATGTATGTATGCGTGCATCTGTGCGTATAAAGACAAAGGAAAACTTTTGTTTACCGACACGTTTTGTCCCCTGAGTAAACATCCGACAGTACTCAATATAATATAACAGAACAATTAAGCATATATTAATCAATATACATATAATCCCTCACCGTTACATATGCATAATTGTCAAATATAATTTTAAAATTAAAAGAACTGTAATCCCACCATAATATATAATTACGCTAACATTGTGATAACCAGTTATGTTATGTTTCAAATTTCGTAACAGTCAATCCATACTTAGTACCAAAAGATCATGAAAATCCTTGTCGTTCTAGCGGTGAGAAATAATATGTATATTTGATAATATATATATATATATATATATATATATATATATATATATATATATATATATATATATATATATAATATTAGTAGTGGTAAATATACACATACATATGCAAAATATATAAATATATATACATAGGTGCATACACATACATGTATATTTTTTTTAATAAAAAAATTCAAGAGGATAGAATCCAGGTAGAACTCAATGTCCAGGACAGAGTAAGGATATAATAAAAAAACACTAATATTCCATGGTCAAATTTATTCCATTGGAATCGTAAATACGATCCAATTCATCAGACCTACGAATTGGATCGTATTTACGATTCCAATGGAATAAATTATGACCATGGAATATTAGTGTTTAACCTTTTATATATATATATATATATATATATATATATATATATATATATATATATATATATAAGAACATAGAAGTCAAAACTCAGAGGCGACAGGCTGTTTCATATTTGACTTCAATGTTCACTTTATATATATATATTTACATACGCTCTATCTCTGATATTTAGCACTTTATCCCATATATAATGTTAATGATCAGATTTGAATCAGAGCAGGAAACAGCAGTATTAAAATATTATCAATACAAGTGTGAAAATAATAAAGTAAAAATTAAAATAACATATGGAGCTTTTAACTTTAAATTGAATCCACTACCTTGGTTCCAACCTTACGGTATCCTCAAGGTTGAAACCAAGGTAACGGATTCAACTGACCTCTTTTAAAGATTTTAAATATATATATATATATATATATATATATATATATATATATATATATATATATATATAAAGTATGTATGTATGTATAGGCGTTCACTCTATGCAAATCAGAAGATGGATCTAATTGTCTAAAATGGAAATAAAAGTATTCAAATTGCTGTATGTAGTTCTTTCGGTAGAAAACATTATGCAGATAAAAGAAAAGTACTAGAAACTTCCGTTGAACCTGCGGGACATGAAGGGGGTACATCGTGCCCTTAACAATAGGAATACTGGAAATCTGTTCAAAGTTTCCATGAACGACACCAGAAGAATTAAAAGTCTAGAAATATCCGGAATACCGAGGAAGGTGCTGGAGAATAGAGAAAACAAATCGGCACCTGTATCTGTCTATATTTCTGAGATGGGGTATTATGTACATTATTTACGTTATTCGGACTATTCTCCTCATCTTTGTCTCCATATTTATTACAACGTCTCGACCTTTGTACGCTCCGGCCTTCTTCAGGTGGTTGGAATGTCGAACTTATGTGGAGAACTTTCAGAGATAAATTAACAGGAGATAACTGATAACTGACATCCATTAAACATGGCACGTGGAACTAGAACAGTCTACGAAATAAAGGGTTAAGTTCGACATTCCAACCACCTGAAGAAGGCCGGAGCGTACAACGGCTGAAACGTTGTAATAAATATGGTGACAAAGATGAGGACAATAGTCCGAATAATGTAAATTGGCACCTGATACATAGCGACAAATTCGAAATAATGATTGTCTAAATACAAATAGCAAAAGCCCAAGGGAAAAAAAACAAACTATTCTAAATAACAGAAATAATATTTTTGAACCTTATCACGTACCATAAACAAACTAAGGGCAGTGACACGTCAATCATGACAGAAAACGTAAAAATACAGAAAGTTTAGTAGCCAGTAATATTACAAAACGGAAATTTAAAAATAAGCAATTTCCAAATTCACAGATTCGATAATGAGAAAAATGGCAGTAAATTTTCTTAAAACACTGTTCTACATTAAGATTAATTTGTATAAGAAACGAAGGATTTAAAACCAGTGGATAACCTATCGCTATTTCCATGGCAAATGTTCGGACGAGCTACATAACATAATTCCACCAGTTCAGACCTTCACAGCTAAGCCTCTTGCTGCACTATCGCTATTTCCATAGCAAATGTTCAGACGAGCTACACCATAGTTCCACCAGTTCAGACCTTCACAGCTAAAACACGCCATGCCATGTATACGAGGTCGACTCATCCTAATTCCCTACATATTCCACTAGTAAAGAGTTAGTTCCACTCAAATAGCTACTCCCCAAGAATGGTCACTATGTGAAACAGACTCCCGAGACAATGGTTACGACAATCTTAATCTCTTCAAGCCTATCCTACATATCCTCATAACATGCACTTCTTACATCTTCACTTTATGCGCTTACAACAACCTGGTTCAGTAAGCCTCTACATTGAGTTGCTCCTGCGCCGTGTGTTTTGTGATTACAAGTATAAAATCAGTTAGATTCCGAGAGAGTAACGTATTGGTGTAATATTCTCTGTTTTTGGTTGTTGCATAATGCGGGAAGAGAACTGGCCTCAGTATCCTGCCAGACAATCAATGAAAGTCAAGTGCGGAGGTTACTTAAAGTGAATCCCGACAGAGGAATGCAGAATCATGTGGATCTCAAAGTTGCATCCGGTTTTGCAAGCGTGGAAAAGAATTGTTATGCAAGCAGTTATTACTTCAAATCTTATTTCTTTTTAATTTTCAAAACCGGAGTAGACGCCTCGTCTATTTTAAGCAGTGTTTATTTCGTTTAAAATAAATGGAGCGTCTACTCAGATACGGGTATCCAATTAAAAAAATAAAACGCTTAAAGTAATACAAATTTGTCGGCTTAAAAAAAAGTTTATTAGTTCTTTAGAAACATGCAGTTATATAAGCAACCACCCCTGTGAGGAAATGGGCGGTATCGCAGATATAGTAGACGAGGATGTAAGGTTTCGGAAAAGTAAATGTTGCAGAACGTAAGTATATTATTGAACAGGAATCTCTTCGTTCTCTGAAAGCACCTCCAGTTTCTGGGGCGATCTTTATGCAATATGTCCTTTGTCAGATGATGAAAACGGTGAAAATAATACGTTGACGTTGGTGAAGTTGAAGTCATTCTCTGTCCGCCCAATGTCCAGATTAGAATCTTTGGAAGACTATCGGCCATGATGCTAGGGCAAGAAAACCGACGACAATGGTTGGTGGCTGAAACTGCCAGAGGCAAAAAAAGAAAAAAAAAAAAAACACGGACAAAAACACGCCTTAAAATGTAAACCAATAGTAAAGTGATCATAATATCCAAAAGTCATTCAAAAAGGGATCTGTAGCTTATTATTAATATTTGTCAGAAATATTAAATGCTGTGAATTTAATTTACATGTCTATTTAGAATTTTGGTTTTCAATGTCTTTCTTAATCTTTCCTCAATGTTTCTTAATCCTTAGATTTTATAAAACTAAGAAAGTTACTATGGTGAAGGAAAACTACAAAAAAAAAAAACCTTAGGAAAGGAAAGCAAGAAGAAAGGACTAACTATTAACAATAAGAAAACATAACTTAGAGTCGCCACCACGATAGCCAAAGAAATCAGAACTGGAGAAATCAGAAGGAAACAGGTACAAAAATCTATCTATCTAGATAGTGTAGTAACAGACGTTGGAAAGTGTGACACAGGCAGTTTTATAGGAATAGCAAAAGATATCATCTAGAAACTAAGTAAAGTATTAAGAAATAGGAAAATGTTGATACAAGTAAAAGAGCGTTGAATTGATGCGCTATGTCAACCCTTCTAACAGATGAAGCGAAAGCGACAGAGATGGGGTTTTACAGACGGATGCTGGGAAGACGATGTACCAGACACGTGACCAGTGAAGGTCTAAAGAAAATGGAGACGTAAAGGACACTTATACTTAAAATTAAAGAGAGACAGTTGAAACTTCTGGACATATTATGAGGAAAGAGAACTTGACAAATTTAACACTCGTAGAACATCTTGATAGAAAGAGCTGACGCGAAAAACTGCTGGTGAGCTTACGAGTGAGTTTAGGTGAATAAATGGCAGAATGAGGGCAAAGAACGACGAAAAAAGTCAAATATGGCCATTGCTTAGAGCGACAAGAGACAGAATGTCGTGGAAGGTCATGATCAAAATGGCGGCCAAAAATAACGATGCAGATCAATTTTCCAAAATGTCCAAAAATGGAATTGTAAACTTTCCAATAAACAATAACAAAAGAAAGAAAAAGAATACTAAGCAAACAAACATATATATATATATATATATATATATATATATATATATAAGTGCGCAGGTATGCAGAAAATAGAAAAGAACACGTTGGGTGCATAATCCGGGGTTCCTTAGTATTTTTTGTTTTTTATTTTTTAGAAGACAGTGCTCCATACAAAGTAGAGCTTTATTATAATAATATTTTTTGTTTAAAAATATGATTCCTTTGCTACATAAGAGTCCTCATGTTTTTCAAAAACGAGCCAAACCATCCAAATAATTATTAATTCCTAAAATTTCGCTTGAGGATGAAACGACTAAACACCTCAATTCAACTTAATTTTAATAATTATTTGGATGGTTTCGGCTCTCGTTTTTGAAACATGAGAACTCTTATGTAGCGAAGGAATCATATTTTTAAACAAAATTATTATTATTATTATTATATATATATATATATATATATATATATATATATATGAAAAAAGGCAAGAGAAAACTATACTTAGTTTGGCTGTATAACATCATGGCGAAATCGAGTCATGTTCTTAAATAGTCCTGTCAGATCAAGACTTTCATATTGATGCTATGCATGGCGCCCAAATCGTTCAGATATATCTAAACTCTCAGACACCTTCTTAGATCAATCGTTAAAAATGGCTTCGAGCGAATTAAGCTTGTAGGTCTTAAAGACTGGCGCTACAGAATCACAGACAAAGATCTGTACCAAATAACAGAAACTACATCAACAACTAAAATGGATCACATGTGACTTGAAGAGAAAATAATGATATAATCATGATGTTGATATTCCACACTACTTGAAACAAAAGGTTAGCTGAGAAAAACCCAGCAATGCTAGAAATAATCATAATGATTCATAGAGTTGAGATCCTGTTTTCCTGAAAATTGTTTTAAGGGAAATATTTTATAAATTTCAACCGAAATTATTACTGGCTGCTCGGTCAACGAATGTCTATTGTTTCCTTATAAGGAAACGTGTAATATGATTACCATTCTTTTATTTGTTTCTTGCTAATCATCTCTTGTTTTATTCTACCATAATTTGTTGTTTTTTTTCCCATTTTTTGTACTTTATTTTTATAAATCGAACCTATTCCTTTTGGGAACACAATTTCGTCAAACTATTTAGCTCTAGTAAACTAATGCACCAGAGCAAATAATGCTTACTTTGACATCAGCTAAAGGACAAATAAAGGGTACCCAATGAGGATAGAAATCCCTATATGTAATATAATGGTCAGCCAGATTAAGATAAATATTGTACCACAAAATTGTTAGTGTAAGTAATTATTTAGTTTAGCAACGGGTTAAAGATATAGCGACGCCAATTGTGGTTCGAACTCGCTATACAATCCAAACGGACTAACAGGCTGGTATTCTAACCATTACGCAACTGTACATCGTGTTTAGTCTGGCATGTTGTTCCAGGAGGATCGAACTCATAACACAGTAGTAGGTATTCATCCGCGTGCCCATATACAAGGTCGGACTCGAATGTGGGATATCGGGATGGCTACTCGAAAATTAGTCAAGTCCCTTCGGCAATTTTCCTTCTGAGGACGCTTTGATGAGGCTAATGATCCCAGCCTCGTCCTGAAGGAGAGGTACTTCTTGCTGGGTACCCGAGGGCTTGAGTTAATATTAATTTCAAACTTCCCCGGCTGGGAGCACAGTAGTAATTTTCTACGAGACTATTCCCTTAATGATTACTCCACGGCAAGGCAACGATGAATATGGCGCTTCCCAAGGTAGCACATTCATTGCAGGTACGTATTTTTTTAATTTCTAATATATTTATTGATTTATTGACTAATTGATTGATTGATTTTTTTTTTTTTTTGCTTATTTTAAAGTTTACGATTCTTGTTTTACATTTCTTTTATTCCTTCTTTTTTTTTCTTTCTTTTTTTTTTTTTTAAACCGACGACAGTTCCCAAAAGTCACCGTCACAAGGATCGACGAAGTGATGTCGACCCATCCGTGGCCTACACCGATCCACCTAAAAAGAAGAGTAAGTAAATCTGCACGTGGCTCCCTATTTCACCCCACACCAAATTTTCTTATTTGCTTTGCATGTTTTTCGCTTTGTAACCCTTGGTGATTTTGCCACCGGATATTTTCCCGCTTACCATTCAAGGAAGGCTTATTTGATCGGAAAGTCTATCGCATTTTGGGAGACGGAATAAACAAACGTAGCTAACATTAAATTTATATATCAAAAAGCATAGTAATCATAAGTAACAATAACAAAACCTTCTCCCTGAAACTAATTCTTTAAGTGCTTGTTGAATTTTTAACTAGAATTCTTTTTTTTTTTTTTGGCAACCCTCTAATGCACGTTGAAATCGTCGCAGTAATTGTTAAATTTATAGCTAACATTTTTTATCAAGATTTACAAACTCTATGTTTGATTCAATTTCGCAAACCATTCGATGAAATTTGAATAAGCTGATGTTTTGGGGAAAATAACTTCGCAAAAACCCTAATTTAATTTTATAGGACTATGTTAAGCAATATTTTTTTAAGAAAATCTATTTTTCTGCTTTTTAACAGCGTTAAATAAAGTTTTAGGATTTCTTACTCTTAAGCATGCAGCATACAGCTGACAAATATTTATTTCTGGAGCCAAATTCCAACTTTTTGAAGTATTTGGCCGTGTTTATAGTTCTCGCAAATACAGAGCGAACTGGAAACAATGGTTTTTATTTCATGGGTGATTTTCGTTAGATTTCGCAATTAATTTCGATTATTCCCAAATTTATTTCCAAGTTATAAAAATTGTTATCGTACAAAATATCGTCGCAAAAAATCACTTACAAATATCGCCGAAAACAATCGCAGTAATGAAAACTTGGAAATCCAAAATGTCGGGATTGTGGGTCTGGTTCTGTTCTGGAATGTTTTTTAATTTGCTCACGGAATCGGTCTGATTCCAAAATGGTATGATTTATTGGGAGACGGTCTCGAGAAGTAAAGTTGAAAAAGTGTGACACACTGACATACGCATTTGTTATATAGAAAAATGACTGACATAACATTTGCATACCTGTGATCGAGCATCGATATCAAGGGCAGCTCTACGCGAGAGATCAAGAGAAGGCTAGCAATAGCAAGAAGTAGTACCACAAAAATGGGAAAATATCTAGAGTAGTCGGAAGATCCACATCAGCCTAAAGCTGGAATTATTACGGCATAGCCTCGTTCGGGTTCCTCCCTGCCCGAAGACAGAGAGTTCAACAGGTGAGCCGCTCGTCCGACTTCAGACTGAACTCAGACCGACCCACTGACGACCGACCCAGGTGAGACCCGACTGAACTCCGACGTGAGCGATATTCAGTCACCCCCTACTACTCATGAGGGCATCATGTGGCACAAGGCCGGTTTAACGTGGGATCTCCGTGGGCTCGGCCAAAAATATGCCCATTGAACCCGTAGCCTCGTTCGGGTTCCTCCCCGCCCGAAGACAGAGAGTTCAACCAGTCAGCCGGTCGTCTGACTTCAGACCGAACTTAGACCGACCCACCGAGCGACTCTCTCGTTACTCTTATTACTCCTACTTATTATAGGTGGGAGAGTCTATTAAGTATAGAATAGGGGTGTTCCACTATAACACTAAGGCCGTAAGGTCAGCATCAGACAGAAAGAAATGGAGGCGACTGATGTCCCCAGCTGCGCAAAAGCTGAATGGATGAACGGACGTGATATCCTGCCAGAAATGCTTCCTTTTATGTCTAATTAATTTTTGTCTCTTAATTATCCTACCCATACACACATGATAGGTAGTTTACCCACTGTTTCTCTCTGACTCTCGTTAGTTTCTCACATGATCAATACTCAGCATCTTTCTGTAGAACCACATCTCCATTACTTCAAATCTTCTCTTCATCTGTGAGAAAACTCTCAAGCATTTATTGACATATTGAAGGATTGATATGTCATAGCAGTTCAGAACTTTTTTCTTTTTCGCACGAAATTTTCCTGTCTCTTAATACTTCGTTTATGTTTTGAAAGGCATCTTCCGCTAATTACATTAGATCTTCGGATAACTGAGGGGATAAGTGATACTTTAACGTCAGAAGTCTTGAGAATTCAATTCATAAATCTAAAATTTGTACACTTTTTGCTTAGGCTTGTGAGTGTTTTGTGGGTTGGCAAAAAAAGCGTGCGTGTCAACAAGTCTCATGGGTTTAGCAAGGTCAAAAAACATTTTTACACGGTGTAAATTAAATTGATTTGAATTATTTCTACCCAAACTGATGGAGTTTTGTGTTCAGGGTGTAGCCCGCTTGATATATAGAATCCTCACTGGAATTGATACACAAACAAGATTTCATTGGTTACCAAATAATCGAACAGATAAAAACAAATCTTGGATGGATCGATCTAGAGAATTTGACCAATAGATTTTGACCTAAAAAAAGACTTGCACAGAATACAGGCTATATTTTTAAAAGCAAACTTAGGTAAATCCGTAAGTAAAAGTTTAGCATATTGAATAATACTGGGTTTTATTTCAGGGAAATGATCATAATGTCTCTGTTCGTGTGTTATTATACTTTTAATAAATTATCATCATGGTTCGCGACTTTTCCCTGACATCATATATATATATATATATATATATATATATATATATATATATGTGTCAGAATACTTTTACAAACTTTGGGTGTGAGTTCAAAACAAATACAAATGTCCATATAAACATATGTCCGCAAATCTTTTGTTTTGAGTTATTAAGTTTAAAGTAAGTTTAAGATAGATGGTGCTGTATAGCCATATAGACTAGTTTACATTTGTCGTTCGTGTATATTTATGGCTAGTCTGTCTTCAACGTTTAACGTGTGTAGTAGTGAGTTAACTGAGAAGTGTTCCGTTTAACAATGGCAGGATATTCATATATGTAGGTAGATATGATTTTTTTCATATGGCTGTGTGAATTGTAATGGACATGAGGCTGCATAGCTGTATCAGATGGATGGCATCCAAGTCATTTAACCTTTGCTTTTGTTTATCGTCGCGTTGCTGAGATAGGATCCGTGGCACCACAAACTATGGATCAAGGAAGACTGAGATCCGCTCGTACGTCTGACTGCGAAGAACACATTTTACAGGCTGTCAGAGACGATCCGGGTATCAACACGCATCAAGTGGCCCTAGCATAGTATCGTATGGCGGGTACTACAAGAGCAGCATCTTTATCCGTATCATTTGCACCGTGCGCTGGGTCTTTCGCCCTCTGTTCACACACCACATTGTTTTGCTGATGTTTTATTGCACAAACTGCCGATCCGTTGCTTGTTTACGGATGAGGCAACATTTGGAAGAGAAGGAATAACAAATTTACGCAATCCACATTTTTTTAAGCGTTTCACCCCAAGCAAGGCGGGAAGCCACTAGCACGCAATGGGGTTACAGAGGATTTGGAGCGAGAGCAGATAGTAATGCTAGAGGAGAGGATGAGGAGAAGGTTAGTGGATAGATCAAGGCAACTGGAGTTGTCGATTGACATTACATTTGAATAGTTGGAGATTATAGCTCTCAGGGAAACAGTAATTGGGAAGGGAGTTCCACAGGCGAGAGGTGCGAGACATGAATCTATTGGAGTAGAAGAGAGGGCTACATTTAACAGTTTCAACAGTGAAAGGGTGAGAGCGGGATCCCAGCCTTGTAGGACGCTTGAATTCATGAAATCTGGGAAACAGCGAAAGCAGCTCATCGGAGCAATTGCCATGAAAGTATTTATAAAACAGACAGAGAGAGGCGACGGCGCGTCTGTGAGGGAGCGACTGCAGACGAGATGCCAGATTAGGGCCAATTTGGGCGGATTGGAATCCCCATGGTATAATGCATGTTATACATCAGCATCAGATTGCGATTAATGCATAGGCTTATTGTAGGTGACTGCCTGGTAGGTCCATATGTTCTCCAAGTACGTTTCGTAGGAGCTGTCTATAGGGACTTTATTTTTAGCACACTTCCAGACCTGCTAGAGGATGTAACCCTGCTAATAAAAAGACGCATGCCGTTCATGCATGATGGGGCTCCAGCAATTTTTAGTAACATTGTTCGCAATGGACTGTCTTATAATGCAAGAAGGGCCAGTTCCATGACCTGCATGTTCCCCCGACCTCAAGCCTTTGGATTTTTAACCGCGGGGTCCATCTAAAACAATTTGTTTATGCAGCAGACATTAATAAAGCAGAGAGACATTTCAGCACATGTCATGGGATTCTACGAAATCATTCGACACGGCGTGGAAGTATTTAAAAGGGTCCGCCAGTCAATGATCCGACGGGTGCATATGTTTGTGAAGAAGGAAGCGGAGGACATTTTTGAAAATTTGTTATGTGCTGCTGTGTCGAGGTACAACGATGGGATTTGTTAAAGTATACTTGATACACCGTATATATATATATATATATATATATATATATATATATATATATATATATATATTTGTTCACTTATGCATTAGGAATTACGTCCATTTTTCAGAGGACTAGATGGCAATATGTTATATATATATATATATATATATAAGTTAGTGCCAAAAATAATGTCGTTTTGACGTTCAACAACGTCAAAAACGACATTATTTTTGCACCAACCTAATATATGTGTGTGTGTGCGTGTGTGTGTGCATGTGTGTGTGTGATTTCAGCTAGCGCTATATAAATGTCCATACATCAGCGATAGCTAGATATATGTAGATGATATATGAACAAAATGCTAGATATATATGAACAGAATGAGATAGATAGATAGATAGATAGATAGATAGATAGATAGATAGATAGATTGTAACTGTGTGCGTCTGTGCCGACCTTATTCAGAAGGGAAAAGTTTAAAAGGGCTTAATTGAGGGGTAGATTTATGTAAATTCTGTGTATAATGATGTGACAAATCCTATCTAATGTGGTCCCATCTACTTTGCTTACTCCTCTAACATAACAAAAAAGTTAATAATAATAATAATAATAATAATAATAATAAAGCAACCCCTTTTTG